TGTAATGAGGAGTCGGGTCATGTAGGGTACATAAGTCGGCGTTATCCCGACCATGCAATGAATCAAAGTTGAATGATAATTTGAACTTTACATTTTCCCCGGTCAGATCAGTGTGAGTGTGTCAGCCCGAGTGTGGTAAAAAAAAGTGTTATATGCTCTGGGAGGAAGGAGCAACACGTTATACATTCGCGTTATGGAACGGCTCGCGGACCGGTGGTTTCCGGAAGCGACTCCTGCTCTTGGCTCTTAATATTATGTGCCCGTTAGAGAATCGGTGCTTCCTACATCTTCCATGCTTCTCTAAGACAACTTGGAGGCAAGAGACGTTTAAACTGCAACAGATTCCGAGCGCTTAGGTCCCGCTGCCATCAGTCTGCAATTTTGCGCTCCAATTAGTAGCAACTCACCTTCGTTGTTCACTTCCCAGCGTGGTGCTGAATTGTACATCCTTCCAACACCGCCGTCCGTTCCTGTTGAAGACGGGCTTTACCATCTACCTCAGATACGCCCAACAAGACATCGGCGATGATGATGGCGACTGTATCGACGCTTGCTCATACTAGTAGGCCAGGTTACCTGGCTAGGCGGAAATAACCACTGATTCACCCAGTTGTCGCTTGGTCGTTGTGTTACTTTTTACTTCCCAGGTTCCTGAAGTTTGGGGCCCAAAACTATTAACCTATAAGTACGGCTACACCTTCCAACTGTGAGGACGACTTTGGTTCCATCACTGCTGGACTCTTGAAGCATTTGTATGTGAGCTTGCTGTGAGCAGGAATATACACTGATGTAATTATTTGCAGAAAGTTATTTTCCGAAAACCAGGCACTGGCAGAACTGAGGACCAGCAGAATGCAGCTCTCGCGAGCCGTAATACTGTGGCTGAAAAAAACTGGCTCCTTGGAAGTTAGCAAAGGCGCGCTCCGGTTTCGAGTCGATCTAAACAAGGTCGTGTACAAGAACATACATCTCCAACAACTCATATGCTAGGTTTGTAAACGGTTTGAACCCACAAACCGAATATCGCTATAGCGCGACGAATAGACGCGTGTCTCCAAGTCCTTCATGGCAGACAACATCCCCGCCGGAAGATGAGGGCGCCACCTCGAGTCTTCTCACAGGCTCTCTCCATCGTCCAAATCCTGTCCTTCAATCTGGTCTCTAAATCGACTATCTGACAAGACAAGGAATTCAGTCGAGTGTTCTGGTATGCGTGGTTGGTATCCAGGCTGTTCTCAATCCTCGCCACACGCTGGCTGGTCATGGTGCATTGAGAAGGGCGACTTCATTGGTAGTCCTTTAAACACTACTTTGCTTCAGTCATAAAATAACTCTACTAAATGAAAGAGTGCCTGTCTTCCCATTCCTTCGTCCTCGAAGAGAAAAGATTGTGTATTTTAGTGCGGAGGCGGTGCTAGTGGGATGGGTATACCTAGTGTCCAAGAAGGTCATAAATAAAGGAATAAGTACCGCCCAATGCGAAGAGAATCAAATCATTCAATACTATACACGAGGTCAGAATCCGATATGGTGGATGGATAACAATCTTGAAAACATACCTCGATGCACTAACACTCTCATCAACGACGGACTCTGGAGCACCCAGCCCCGCCGCCGGACACAGCAGATCATCCAAAACGCCTCTTCTCGTAAGACTCGTCGTCTCCCACGGCGCTAGTAAAGATCTCCGCCTCCCCGCCTGGTCCCCAAAGCACTTCTACCGTAACCCCCAAATCAGCATCTTATACTTAGAGAAACCACCAACACGAACCTGGAATATCTGGAAATCCTTCTCAAAGAGCGTCTTGGACACACTGTCACTGAAGATCCCAAAGAAGCTTCCTTGAGCGCCAATGTTCACGTTCAACCCCGCCGACACGGTGAAGCACCCCCCAAAGGTCCCGTCTCCATCGGCGGTGACGTTTCTCGATAACAGGGCACGTCGTTCGGCGGCACGAGCTGCGTGGACCAAGGCGGGCACGGAGGAGCGCTTGTAAGACGAGCCGGCGTATGAATCGGCAGCATAGTCCGTCGCCGTAGAGTAGTCTCCATACGAAGCTCCGCCGGTCTCTTCAGCACTGGGGCATCCATAGTCGCGCTCTCAGAAACACTAGCTTCCACGCTCGCGCTTGCGCTTGCATAAGCAGAGCTCACGGCCGCGCTTTCATAAACACTAGCTTCGGAGCTGCTGGCCTCGGAGCTGACGGTCGCACTTCCATACACGCTGGCATCAGTGCTGGTGGACGCGCTTCCATACGAGCTCGCAGTCGCGCTGACATCCGCGCTGCTCGCACTGGCGCTCTCAGTCGCATTCCCACTATCCACGACCACAGTCCCATTGGCGCTCGCGTCCAGCTCGAGCGTCAACGCCGCCTTGGCATCGAGCTCGAGGAACACGCTCGCATCGACGATACTCAGCGCAGAGATGCCAAGGTTAATCGAGGGGATGAGATGCGCCTCGATGGTACCCGTGGCGTTGACAGAGGGAGACACGGACAGTTGCAGAGCTACATCATGGCATGAGATGGTGGTGGTGGTAAACGAGAGTAATACTAATACGCACGAGTATCACCAATGTCAAAGTTTCCCCCGTCCGTGCTGTCGTCGATCCCGGGAGGGAAGACAAAGGACGCGTTGGAGATGGTGTAGACGATGCCGACGTTCATATCGAGGTTCACGTCCAGCTTGGCGAGAGCCTGCGCGTTGATTTGGAATGTAGGTCCGATTTCCAGGATTCTGTGCTCGGCGTCAGCTAGAGCAAAGAAGAGTGTGTGTTGGATTCACTCACCCGGGAAAGCTGAGGCCGGGAATACCGACTTCGAAGAGCTTGATTTTTCCAGAGTCTAGTGTGCCCTGAATTAATCAACTTGAACATCAGTATCGATGCTCCTTGTAATACTATGGATGGTACTCACAGCGACGTCGGCTGTCAAATCAATACCACCAGCAAGCTCCGCATTGAGGGCTAGAACACATCACTCGTAAGCACCGTTTACCCATGTAGGAAGGCAGTCACTGACTTGCTGTAATCCCAAAGGTATCTATATTAGGCGGGATAATTGTACCCGAAGCAGCGACCCCAATCGTCGCGACCGCGTGCGCCTTGGCCTGCACATCAACGTTCAGCTTCGCCGAAATAGGCGGACAGTCCACGGTCTCGTTGAGGAGATTAAACGTCTGATCTACGTCCACGGGTATATCGAAGGATTTGCTCTCGTCAATCTTGTTCTGCAGCGCATTGGTTATCGCTAATCAATCACAATTCATCAGTATAATGCTATGCAAAGGAAGGCGCGACTCACTCTTGATCGCATTTTTCAAGAAATCCCCAAACCCACGCTGTGTCACCCGGCGCATGCGCTTCACGTTCGCAGTGGTGGAGACAGAGGAGAGGTCGGCGTCGGCGCCTGGGACGTTCGCGCCTTGGAGGATAAAGTTGACTGTCCCAGTTTTGGATGTATCTGCTGATGCGAAATCGGTGTCGAGTGTGAGCGCACGGACGGCCTGAGGGTCTGCGCGACGCGCTAGGCGGGTGGGTACGGTTTGGTCTGTGGGTGTCCATGCTTTGGCGACGCGTGCGAATGCGTTGGAGCCGCACTAGACTCGGCATGTCAGAAGAGGAGAGAGAGAGAGAAGGACTACACGCACACTTTCAGGTAATCGCACAATCTTGTTCACCGCGCCAATGTTCTGATACAGGTGACCGCAATCCGCAGACGCGCCTGTACATACGAGGCGGATGTCCTGGGACACCGCGTCTGGCGTACAGTCGATAATGTCCCACCCAGCGGCGGGCGTAATATCCGATATCGCGTCGGCCGAACCCCACTGCCAGATTGTCGGGTTAGCGCTTTTGCAAATTGACACGACGTGATGGACGCACGATTTTCATGGACCCAGAGCTCGAGGCGTTGCTAACGGGCAGCGAGTACTCGCAGACGCCGCTGAAGCATGGCTGGGACCAGTCGTTTGTCGCACCAACTGCGGCGGTGAGGGTTAAAAGAACGAAGAGGGAAGGAGACATTTTTTAAATAATCTAATAAACAAAAAAAGCAAACGGGAAATCAATCCCAGTGCCGACCTGGGCGCGAAGAACGAACGAAGGGAGTGGAAGGGAGTGTAATGGAGGGCGCGTGTGGCATGCCGGTCTTATATAGAATGCGTACCTGGGTAAGGACGACATCAATACTCGTCGCGACCAGCATCAGTTTGACATTGCGGACATCATTGGCTTGGCTCAGCCTTCCACATGCGAGAAAGATTGGCGCCTAAAAGCGGTTGCCAGTGTCATTGCCTCCAGCGTAAGTACGTCCCGAGCTAAATTGCCTTGATGGCAATCATCTGGGAGGACACAGTCGTCGTTACACGGAAATGACAGCCATACAGCTAGGTGGATACGCAGAGATGTAACAGCTCAGAGAAGCAACGTTGACATTCGAGAGATGGATGGATGATCATGTTGGACGGAAGCAAATGACACTGGACCTGCAGGGTCCGTGGGTAAACAAAATCCACGTGATGTACAGCTCTTGAACCGGCGCGGGGATGTCGGCGGACTCTCCCCTTCACGGATTACTCACACCGTCGAGTAGAAGCCTACATAAGGAACGGAGGGCCTTCCTTGAGCGAACAAGAAGATCCACAATATCACGGCGCTCTGATCTCCTCGTGGGCTTCGGCGGTCTTGACTTGCCTTTGATGATACACTCGTGGATCTGTTCTTCCACAACAGCGACTTCCGCTCTGGATTAATCGACAGACGTGCATCAGGCTTCTATTATACTGGATGGCCCTCATTCTTCCGTGCACTGGTTTCATCTGACTCTTGCTGATTGTTAATGTCGAAATTCGGCCTCTTCCACCTCGCCGCACGAAATGAACCCCGTATTTGATGAACGGACAGCTTATACTTGAGGCGGACTGATACCGGGGCATATAGTTCTCTGAATCGTGTAGACCTGCCGCTCTGCGTACCACCAAGCGGAAGGCCGGGTGTTACCGGGGACATAGCTCAGCTGGGAGAGCAACAGACTGAAGTGGACGCGTTATTCTTGATTTTCTGGAGGTCCCCAGTTCGATCCTGGGTGTCCCCATGCGCCATTGCATGTGCCTTTTTTTTTTTATCACATTTGGTATTTTAGTCTAGGGTGGCGCAGTAAACCTCCGGGGGGTGTTAGTAACGGTATTGATACCGGCCCCCTGGGAGGTCCCAGTTTCGATACCGTTAGTAACGGTATCGATACCGGCACGTGATCATTGCACATGACTCGGGTGGCGCAATTTCTGCGAAGGTTCCTATCAGCTCTGCTCAGATTTTCCATGGTTCAGCTCGAGGTAATGGCTATTAACTTGAGGTCTGTAATAAAATCAATCAAAATCTATACTGTAGTCTACTGTATGTCATTTTCATCGATATCCGAGTCTGTCTCACTGTGTTATGGAGGAATAGACTCTAGAGACTGGTAGAAGTCATTGGGAATTGGATACAGCTTTGTTAATGCCTGTTTCGTTTCAAGATCAGGTCTGACTGGGGCCATGGTGTGAGTTTGGTGCGGGCGCGGATACGGGTCTGAAGACCCGCCCACCAAAGTCACGTGAAATAGTCACGTGCCGGTATCGAAACCTACCTCTCAACCCCCGACAGTTTCGATACCGTATTGATACCGTTACTAACCGCAGTAAACCCGAGGTGTATCAAAACCAAGGGTTTACTTCACCACCCTATTTTAGTCTCTCGCCACACACGCCTTGGTTTGAAAAATGGGTTTGTCAACTGTCATTACGCCACACTCCGCGCCAACCTCTCCTCAGCCAAAATGTCCCTGAGCTTCTTAGCACGAACAGCAGCCAACACCCTCCTCCTCTGTTCGTTTCTGTAGTCCACTACCAGTTGTGTACCGGTCTGAAAGCAAAGCCGACAGTCAACTAGGCCTCTTATAGAGCTTCCAGTCCTGTACGCTCCTGCAGTAAGCATTCATCAATACCCCTCATTGACACAAGAACGGATGCAAAAGATGGAAGGAAAGCAAGGTCAAGCAAAAGGATTTAATTTACTGTATATTATCCACATCAAATATCCTCACTCGGCACAGTCGCCTTTTCCTTACCTCCCTCGCGTTCCAAACGAATCGCTCTCAAACCGGCCCACGCACAACACACGCCCCAATCACCATCTTAAACTTGGGCACCCGCCTCAGCCTCTTCACCACCTCCTCCGCCTCGCCCCCCGTCTCGTCCTCCTCAAATCCCCTAAACGTCACAGCCTTCAACGCCCGCCCCACCTCTTCCTCCACCACCTCCAAATCCACATCAATAATCGCCGGCGCGCGCGACTCGACCATCCTCAACAAATCCAGCTTTCTCACCGGCTTGCTCCGCCTCTGCCAATTAAACATGATGCCCTTCAGATTCGGAACCAGCACCTCCCCCGTCTCCCCTTGGCGCGCGGAATCGTGAGCCGCCGGACGACTTCCGACGTGATCACGGCGTCGCCTTCCTTCCCCGGCTGCTGATGCACATACAGCTCGGTCAAGCCAGGCGTCGCAGCCAACAGCTGCAGCAACCCCACATCGCTCACTCTCACACACGCAATCTCCAGCCTCCGCAGACTCGCCGCCGAGCGCCGCACGAAATCGATCATCCCATCCAGCTCGAACGCGCCAGGGCCGGGCTTGCTCGGATCCGCGGGGGCGAGCTTCAGGCTGAACATCGCAGGGGCGGTGATATGCTCAAGCACATGCTGAATGCGGCCGAGCCCGCCCAGGCGGAAGGAGACAAACGGGGCTTTGGTGCTTACGTCCGGAAGCGTCGACTCGTCGTCGCATTCGATAAAGGTGTCGCTCACGCTGACGTGGTAGGCGCTCGTGCAGAGCTCGATGACGCGCAGGATCCCAAGTGGCTCCGACATCCACGACAGCACGAGGCTCGAGATGCGCCCATAGGGGAGGGGGTGGTTGGCTAGATCGCACACCGGCCCACCAAGGCATAGCATGTGCAGTTTGGGAGTATGCGCAAAGACCGTGAGAGGCGAGGGCGCAGGCGCTGTTGACGGCAGTCCGTTGGCGTCCGTAAGGTCCACGAGCGTCAGACTCGTCAAGTTGGGCAGCGGCTTCGCGTCGAGGCTCTGGTACATCTCGCCGAGGCACGCGGCGGGCATGTTGAATAGAACGTCGGTCCAGCGGTGCGCTTCGCTACACAGCATGCGTACTAGAGGCGCACTCTGCGTCGCCACGTCGATGTTTACAGGCATCAGCCTCGAGCGCGTCAAATAAAGCGGGATCACCTCCCCAATCCTATCTCTCTCCAATTCAAGCGCGGGCGCTTCTTCGTCGGGACAAAGCAGCCGCTGTCGACGCGGTGCAGCATAAATGAAGGTCCACAAATGCGGCGTCCCCACCGCCACCTCCCTCCATCTTGCACACACACTGCTCAGTATCAACGGCAGCATCCTCGTCTCGGGTGTCGCGTCTGCACACACCGCCTGGAAGATAAGACACAATATCTCATTAGGCACAAAGCGGATGGGTGAGACGATGGTGCGGATCTGGGACGCGTACGCTTCGAGCTCGGCGATGACGGTCTGGAGGGTGGTGATGTCGGCCTGGACGTCGCTGAGCGTTTCGTGATATTTGCGCATCTCCGGGGCGGGGAGGTACGGCCCGGAGCGGTGGATGCGCTGGAGATCGGAGAGAGGCATGAGCGTGCGAACGCCGACGACGCGGGTGCCGCAGTTTTGGCATTGGACGGGGGAGGCCATGGGCGGTGATGGGCGTGTTTTGGGGTAGAGGTGGTCCTGGAATGGAATTGTGGCTGGTGGAATGGAGACGTGAGCGCCCAATCAGCACAGCAAGAGCAGACGGAGACGCACCTTGGTTGGTACTATTCGGGGTGTAGCTACGGCGCGAGGGCTATAGATCGGTCGGGGACAGGATGGAAGGGTAGTCCAGGAATGAAGCGATGACTGCTTCGTGAAATCTTACGGTCGGCGTCAGCACACGACCCAGATGGAAAAAACGACGCTGGTACACACCTTGATGAGCAGGGCCGTGGTCCTCGCTGGGTAGATGGGCGCTGCTAACCGAACAATCAGCGCGTCGTCCCGCTCCAAACCCACACTTTCCACACCCACCTTTGCTCCCAGCTGCCCGGCGTGGATATGTCCCGAATGTAAGGGGGGAGAATTAGACGCGGGTCGTTTGCCTCAGTCGATGGAGAGCTTGGCCAACGTCGTGGTCGTGGTCGTCGCGTAAAAATGCTCGTCACGTGTGACCATTGTTTGTGTGCAAGCCCAATTCGGCAGCGTCCGTGTCCCATGTTTTGAAGTTATTCTTTCTGAAACTTGTCCTCTTTGAAAGAATCTGTCAGATCCTTCCATAGTAAATTGAACATTGACTTTCTGAGCCTTGGTTCCACTGCAAACGCTAGCCCTATCAAGGGGAGTGGCGTCACAGCGGTACGGCGCTATGGTGTAGCGGTAGCACACGGGATTCTGATTCGGTAGGCGCCCGTAGCCCCCCGGGGATTCTGATTCGGTAGATCTCCGTTCTTCCCGTAACCCAGGTTCGATCCCTGGTAGTGCCTTCCTCTTCTTCTGTTTTTTTTTTGCGCCCATCGCCTTACTTTTCTTGTCACGTGTTTCTTTGCGCCAACATCGCTAACGCTCTCAAACCCTTACTTATCATGACTTTACTGTTGCGGAGCTTAAGAAGATTCAAGAAGGAGGAAAGTGGTGGTGGAGGTTTTTAAGAGCAGAGAGCTAAGAATTTGGAAGTCATGTCAGAGACTGTATCACAACGCGCCTAGGGAACGGGCTGGTGGAAACGGAGTATGGTGGTAGAGAAAACAGTATGTATGAGAATGCAACCAGTTACCAGATGCGCTTTCAATGCATCTGCTAGGATACACTAGCATGCGAAGATTAGCACCTAGAGGAAGAACAACTCGAAGGAAGAGCCAGGCCATCGCAGGGTATAGTGAGACCCCATCAAATGCACTCGACGGTTGACACTGAAAACGCAATCCAAAACAATGGGTCTGCCGCAGACTACGAAGACGCGCTGCCGCTAAGCGATACGCCTCGAGTGTACATCCTGAGGGAACTGAGATAATCCCACATCACAGTGACAGGCATGGAATCAATACAAAAAACGCAGAGATCACGATCATAACGCTACAACACGCGAAACCGCTAAGCGACGCGCCTCGAGTGGAACTGCTTAGATTTGGTGGTGTGGCACTACAGCAATTGTCACGCCTCATAGTTCCAACTCATACGACAGCAGACAAATCGGCGACCTAGGAAACAGAAAAAACAAAGCCTATCGGAACATGCCTACTTGCAGGCAGACCGATGAGTCATACACCTGTGAGTAACGACGGAAGGAGAAGCAATTTCCAAGGTGTGCGTACATCCAGGTCCGGTTGCAGACAGATCCACGTCGTCGTTGGAGAGAAAATCTAGAAAGCAAGACACCATCCATGCGAAAACGTTCAGTCACACGCCTACTGCCTGGTAGTCCTAAAAAGGATGTCAATACCTCAAACACCGAATGAAACCACTAAGCCACATCGGCATGGCAGGCTACACTCCAGAGCAGGTTTACGGTGGACGTTGCGGGAAAAGCAGGTCCAGTGAATTTCCAGAGCCGTGGAGAACACAACTTAGACTCTGAACAGTAACAGGAAACGGTCCGTTCTGGGTCGGCCCCAAACCGTCAAAGTTGTGATCAGTTCTTCGACTGAAAAGTTGGCAGTGAAAACACAATCCAAAACAGTCACCCAAAGAGCTATAAAGACGCGCTGCCGCTAAGCGATGTGCCTCCGGTGTACAGCCTGAGGGAGAGATAGAGGTGGACGCTGTCGGAATCATACAGGTAAAAAAAGGAGACGAAACAATTAATAGGACGCGGAACCGCTAAGCAACGCGCCTCGAGTAGAAAAGGTCCCAGTCTGCACTCAGGTTGATGGCGAGTTGGATATGGCTGATTTGTACACCTCACACGACACCAGACGACCTAGGAAACACAAAAAAACCGAACATCCAAAGCAGACAGACACGTAGTACTATTGGGACATACGCTTGTGACTGCCGACAGCGAAACAAATGCCAAGCTGTACCGAGTTCCGAGTCCGGTTGCACGATGGAGAAGTCCTCGAAAACAAGATACTATCCATGCGAAAGCGTTTAGTCACACGCCTGCTGTTGGTAAGACGCTTTGCACCGTACAGCGAGGGAAAGCCGCATCACATCCTAGAAAGGTCCCAATCTGAAGAGCGAAACAGACGTAGAGGGTAGCCATGAGCCGACCGCCTTCGGAATTCTCTCGCAGGGTACGCGGTTCACGTATGCCAGAAGTACATAAGGGCGGATGACGACAGAAATACTGGCGCCAAGCAGTAAGTCAGTAGACTAAGACAAAGAGCGAATAACAAAGCACCTGGCGGGATGCAGTAAAGGCTGGAGAATGCGACATTTCACTCCGCATAAGGAAACCACGATCTTCACTAAAAGGGAAACACGTCGCCGAAGCAGACTACATGTATAGGTAGCCAAAGGCACGCCACCAAAGGTAAACAAAAAGATTGCACCGAAGATGAGAAGTCAAAACGCCCGATGGACCCACTAAGCCACATCGGTGTGGCAGCCTGGAATCCAGAGTAGGCTCATGATGACAGTACGGGAAAAAGAACCTACGGAGATTTCCGAGTCACGTCGCGACCCTAACTTGAGCATCTTGCTTGTGTCGTACGCCGGCTAGTATTGTACTCTCAGACATTGACAACCGCGAGACCGACTTACTTTGGCACAATCAAGACGCGCGGGTACCACGATGTACAATACCAAGATCAGAACTCGAAGGCGGGCTGTATCGGTGAGGCGAGATACCATCCATGCGAAAGTCCGGCCGCATCAAGTCCTAAAAAGGTCACCGCTTCGTCAACCGCTTTCAAACACCGAATGAAACCACTGAGCCACATCGGCGTGGCAGGCTGCAGTCCAGAACAGGTTCACGGTGGTGGACGTTGCGGGAAAAGAGCCTTCGGGTGTTTCGGAGCATGTTGATCGCCGCTATTGCAACAACAAGTCTAAGCAGGTAAAAAAACGAAGGTGTTGCCATTCATGCCAGGCTTCTGTACTGAGACTTCGGTTAGGACTGTCCACTATGGCAATTGGACCAGAATCTATCTCAAAAGACCACATGACACAGCCGGAGAAAGACGCGCTACACTAAGCCACACGTCTTGACCATATGGAGCCAGTGACTCGGACTCATCTCTCTCTGATTCTCCGTTCATGGACAGGACTTGTATGGTTGTGATAAAAGTCGAATAGTTACATATAACAAGTCGACATAATCAGATTAGTTCTGCCTTCACTACTACGCCACTTTCCCTTGACTTATTCGTATCGCAAAGACGTTCGGCGCCATCCATGACCAAATAAGCATGGTTCTGCAGTTGAGCAGCCGAAGCACGTCGCTCTGGTGTACTATGCACAGCCTTGTCAGCCGAGTATAGAATCAACATAACGACGGGACCTACAAAGCAAGACAGCATTGCCGAAAACTTTCTGCGTCATAGGAAAGATTCATGCCTTCGGGCGGGGGCGGGGTCTCCAACGCCCGGGCCCTGTCAGCGAGAAAATCCACTACTGAGGCAGCAATTGAGACACTACTCGCCCACAAAGATTCGCCCGTCCACATCTCGTATGCCAGACACCCGAGACTCCATATGTCAACCCTTGTGTCGTACATGACTACTAGATCTCCAAGGCTACAGTTCATCATCTCTGGTGCCATCCAAAAGACGCTACATGCTGCTGGCGTTATGGAACACTTCGTCGCCTTTTCTATTCCAAGCCCACTGTGTAATCCGAATCCACCGATGACACACCGGCCGTCTTCGAGGAAGATGTTGTCGGAGCACAAGTCCTATATTGATATTAGTGGCGTTGATTACTTATACGAGTGGCGTGAAGGGAAATATTTACGCGGTGAATGATGTTCATCGTGTCGTGAAGATATCGAAGACCATTGACGATATCCCAGAGATATGCTCTCGCAAGATAGCTATCTCCAAGCGCGCCATACGTGTTCAGAAAATAGTGCAGGGCGCCGGGCATGTCATATTCAGTAAAATTCGAAAGCCTGTGGGCCTATCGACACTCTACGCAAAAAGAAATGCACAACACGCACGTTTTCGTCATCCCAGGCGACGCCTCGATTCTGAAATGCTGAATGACATTCTCGTGGTCGGCCAGGTATAAAAGCGTTTGAACACGTTGAGCCGTCCACTGTGGATACCTGTCTGACGCATTCGTGTATTTAATCTACTGGGCGACCATCCTCCAGTCCCCTTCATCGACGAGGTAAACACTGCCTCGACTTCCATGCTCAATAAGCATGGCTCTCCGTTCCAACGGAAATGTCGGCGCCTGGGGACTGGATCTCAATTCCGCGACCCGAGACTTGACTCCATTACTGGCCTCAACACGATCGAGCCGTACGCGCTTATGATTGACAACCACATCCTCAGCAGCTCGCTTTTTAGGACGCGGGGGGCACGAGCATGGGACGCCAGCCACGAAGGGGCACAGCAGGCATACACCCTGAAGTGCTTTGAGCGCGAGGAGGAGCTGGCTAACGGACGGACGGGACGTGGGAATCGGGGAGAGGCATTCCATCACAATCGACCACAACCGTTCCGAGGGAAACTGGTCCTGGGGTGGTCGAGGCGGCGGCCGCTTCAGCGTTAACACCTCGTGGATCAGGGCGACTTCTGCTTTGATATGCGAATATGGAGGCAATCCCGTGTACAGCTAAAGGCATGGTTGAATTAATTGATATCAAGGCAAGAATACGGCGTACTAACCTCGATGATGGTACAACCTATAGAATAAATATCCCTAGCGGCGATTTGAGTTGGATTGAACAGTGTGTGATCCATGCACTCTGGCGGCAGCCAACGAATGGAACCTTGGAACGCTCTTGAAGAACTAGCTGATGCTTGAGATTCGGCGACGAGGCTCAGTCCAAAGTCGGCTAAGCAACAATGAAAGTCATCCGTCACGAGGATGTTGGCCTACCATCGTAAGCATATGTATGCACTACGGGGAAACTTTCAGACACACCCCTCGTATATCAGCGTGGACTATCTGTGGATCGAGGCTATGTAGGTACTCGACGCCTTCGACAATTTCAAGTACCTAAATAAGTACGAATTAGACCCCTGTGAAACGATACAACGAAAGAAATCGAACCGAATGGGCTCGGTTGTGCTCCGGGTGCATCTGCAGAAACGCCATAATGTTACCGTTCGCCATCCAAGGCGATATCAAACAGAAACTGGGAGTAAATAGATCCGCATTGACACCTAGAAATCCCAAAACGTTAGGATGCCGCAATTGGCGCCAAACTAGCGCTTCGCGACAGCAGTCCTGGGGAAACAAACCTGAGATAACCACGGAAAACGAACGGGTAAGACATACCTTTAAAAGTTCTTGACGTTGATCACCAGTGATGAAAAACCGCAGGACCTTTAAGCACACGACTTTGGAAAAGTTTGCAGTGTCGTCTACCGCC